CTGTGTCTCCCTCCTTCTCTGCCCCTCCCCTGCTCATGCTCTGTTTCCCTCTCTCAAAAATAAAGATGAGGGGCGCCTGGGTGGCGCAGTCGGTTAAGCGTCCGACTTCAGCCAGGTCACGATCTCGCGGTCCGTGAGTTTGAGCCCCGCGTCAGGCTCTGGGCTGATGGCTCAGAGCCTGGAGCCTGTTTCCGATTCTGTGTCTCCCTCTCTCTCTGCCCCTCCCCCATTCATGCTCTGTCTCTCTCTGTCCCAAAAATAAATAAACGTTGAAAAAAAAATTTTTTTTTAAATAAATAAATAAAGATGAAAAAACATTTAAGAAAAGAAAAGAAAGCAAGCAATAAATGTCCCCAAGGAATGCGCCCCAGTGGAGTGATAGGAGGTGGGGTCCAAAGGTCTCCATCTGGGGCTAACCTCTGTGTGAGGCATAATTCTGCCCACACTTTCTGCCTTCTGTTCCACAGTGTCCTCGGCGAAGTTCATGAAGGTCACGGGGCTGTTCTCTGTTGTTCCGTAAGCCACCTAGAGGGGTGGGGGAAGGCGTTTGGAGGGAGCACTGGAGATGCAGTGTGAAGGGTGAGCTACCCTGGGGGAATGTGAAGGAACCCAGGAGAAAGTGGAGGGCAGTGGGGTGATGGGAAAAGAGGCACCCCGGCAGAGGGGACGAGCTCAACTAGCAGGGGCCCCAGGTCTGAAATAAAATTGAGATCAAGGAACATTCTTTTCTAGCCAGGGCTCTCTGTTTCTTGCTTCCTGGAGCAGCCATGTGCCTGAGCCCATGGTTCCCTGCGTTCCCGACGCCCCAGCCTTCTCTCCTTCCTCCCCAGGCCGTCTCAGCACCCCCTCCCTGATTTCAGGCCGCAACATCCCCTCTCCCTCCCTTCCAAACTGAAGGTCCCATAAACTTGATGAGAAAGCCAGCCTGCCTTGGCCCCGCTGGAAACTGCACAGACACAACCCACCCACCCTCCTGAAACCCCGAGATCAATGCCTGGCCTTGTGGTGGGTGACCCCAAAGCTTTGGAGGGTTTCCTGTAAGTGTATTTCCATCACAATTAAAATATAGCCAGAGCAGGGTTTAAAAGCCAGTCTCACACACACACACACACACACACACACACACACCCACTCCCACCCAACACTTCCAGTGGTTGGAACATCCTGAGCAACAGAAAACCAGAAGCCAACCTTGGAGGAACCTAAATACCATCAGGGAATGTTCTGAGCCAACTATGACCCCCGTCTAAGGCAACGGGTGAAAGGGGCTTAGGAGAGGGGCTAGGTACCCTGTAATCTAGGCTCCTGATCAACACAGACAACAGACCTTTGTCCATCCTCCACCCCACCCCCACCCCACTCCCCACTTCCTCTGT